TATAATTTTAGCATTTTTGTTTAATACCCAAAGTTGTCTTTTTATCATTGATTATTATGAATTTTGATTAAAATTATTGCGAGAGCCATTAATGCAGAAGCAGGTGCAATGACTTATAAACAGAAATGAGATTAAATCATGAAAAATGACAATAAAATAAGAAACACACTTCAGTCATACATGCAGAGTACAAGTCAACAATGATTTTAATTAATTAAACCAGTCTTATAGTGTTACAGTCCTTAGTTCCTAAACCCAGTCTATAGATCTTCAGTATATGAATGAGAGATCAGTCCTTGAGATGATGAGTTCAGCCTCAGGTTCACAGCCTATAATAAATAATAAGAAATGATTAGTTATTATTAATACTGACATTAAGCTGATTCCAACAAAAAATTAATTTTGAAATATGCAGCAATTTAAAACATAGTAAATTTTCCGAAAAAAAAGCAAAAGCTAAAAGCACATCTTCTTTTCCAAAAATGGCTCAAAAACCACCTCAAAATTTTATCACATTCTTTGATACATATTGATGTCCTTATACTGTGTAGAAAGTTTGAGCTGATTCCGACTTAAATTTTTTAGGGTAAGGCCATTTAAAAAAAAAATATGCCAAATTCTGAAAAATTCCCTGTACTATAGCCCATAGTTTTTTTCCAAAAAAGGCTCAAAAATCACCCCCAATTTTTATTAAATTTTCTGATACATATTGAGGTACTTATGCTATGTATACAAAGTTTGAGCTGATTCCAACTTAAATTTTTCAAGTTACGGCCATTTAAAAAAAATATGCCAAATTCTGAAAAATTCCCTGTGCTATATAGGTTTTTCCCAAAAAATGGTTCAAAAATTACCCCAAATTTTATTAAATTTTCTGATACATATGGATGTACTTATGCTATGTACAAAGTTTGAGCTAATTCCGACTTAAAATTTTCAAGTAACGGCCATTTAAAAAAAATATGCCAAATTCTGAAAAATTCCCTGTACTATAGTTTTTTCCAAAAAATGGTTCAAAAATCACCCCCAATTTTTATTAAATTTTCTGATACATATTGAGGTACTTATGCTATGTATACAAAGTTTGAGCTGATTCCAACTTAAATTTTTCAAGTTACGGCCATTTAAAAAAAATATGCCAAATTCTGAAAAATTCCCTGTACTATATAGGTTTTTCCCAAAAAATGGTTCAAAAATTACCCCAAATTTTATTAAATTTTCTGATACATATGGATGTACTTATGCTATGTACAAAGTTTGAGCTAATTCCGACTTAAA